CATTTCTGTTCTGCACCCTAAATATGGTCATTGTCATCTCAGGTTTGCTTTTTAAATGCTACATGGTTTTCAGAATGTCTAACTAGGTAGGGTTTAACTGCTCAGAAGAATAGGACCTGAGCCCTATTCTAAATTGGTCTATATGGGGATCTAATTGTTCATTAAACAACAACAACAACAAAAAAGGATTAGGAGCAATTTGGATGTTTAGATGCTAATTTTTTATGGGACTGATTAACTAATTCATGTTAGTTTTTTCTTAGCCTACACATTTTATTGATAAGAAGGAAAACATTCATCTGAATAGCTCAGAAGCATGCAATGGAGAAAAAGGAGAAGACGGAAGTTCCTTCTGTTTCCAGTATTTGTTAAATATTTGTCTGGAAGCTAACATGGTCCTATTAATGATGGGTTTTTCATTGCCTTGGACATGCTTTTGCAATTTTCCTGGATATCTGCTCCGGGGTCACATGGTAAGTCAATAGTGGTTATAAACCTCTCAGCATTGTGATCAATACCTTTGGCTGACGTAATCTAGATCCCCGGTGTAATTTACAACAAAGGGCAGTTTGGGCAAGCCTCTGTTTTATTACCTCCAATTCACCTACTGAAATATTTCACTGGTTTATGACCGAAGCTATTTCCAATTTTTGATAGATAGGGAATTAAAATAGTCCTGAAGGAAAATGTTAAGTATGAAAAGGAAAAACATTTTATGGCGTTGGAAGCAATGAGCATTTCTTCTTTTGGGAAATAATGCCAGCATACCGGTACCTACCTTCTGAAATTGTCTCAAGCACCACAAGAGTGAATCATGGGCATGTCTAGTCATCCAGATGGATTACAATACTAATGAAGTATTCCTTACACACACCATATAACCCAAACAATACTGCACTTAGTCTACTTTTTTCCTGAATTTGAATAATTATTAACCATCCATTTGAGCAAAACAAGGAACAATAATACTCGCTAGACATGAATAAAGAGGATTGTTGTCTCCTATCATTTTGCCTTCATGAAACTTTCCATTAATTCAGACAGATCTTTTCCCCAGGTCTGTTTTATATTTTATGTCTGAAGGCTAAATAAGAAAAAAAAGAAACTAGTCATTGGAAAGGTGAATAAAGAAGTAGCAGGGCGTTTGAAAAAAAAAAAAAAGAATGGATGGTGGTCTTCTTCAGGTCTCCTGCGCTGAGAAGGGGCACAGCTTTGCCACTGCGGAGTCACCATTCTCCTCCTACACTGCATATCAGTACTCAAGGATGAGGCAGGTTCACAGCTCTGTCTGTTGTATAAAGCAGGTATGCGGTGAGGGATGGGGTAAGAATTTGGATTTAAACATCTACTAGTATAAGGTCCCTTTCAGACTTAATTTCCCTTTTTAATCAACCACCGGCCAGCTACCTTTACATGGGCTTTTATTGTCTAAGACTGAAGATAATAGTAATATCCCAACTATTGAGCAACTATGGTGTGCCTTTACACACTGTTTCTTAGCCCTCAAATGACTTTTTGAAGTAAGTAGGTTTAACCTACTTAACATATAAAGAGACTTAGATTGAGAGAGGGTCAATATTTTGCCCAAGGTAAATCAGAGTTATTTGTCTAAGAGGCTTCGCTTTGGTATGAGGATTAAACAACAACAAAATAAACCTCAAAACAAGCTTGTAGATACATAGATCAGATTGGTGGTAGCCAGTGACAGCGAATTGGGGTGGGAGGTGGAAGAAAAGGTGAAAGGGTCAAAGGTACAAACTTCCAGTTATAAACTGTGATGCCTCTTCAAGGTAGTTTACCGATCAAGGAAGTGTATAATTCTAATATTCACTAGTTGCATAATTTTGTCTCATTACATTCCTTGGGGTGGGAGGGATGGTTTATTCTTAAATCCCATTGCCCAGCACACTACCTAACATATGTAGATGCTCAATAAACATCAGTTGAATTAAATGAAATCCGAATCAATTTCTTTTATATAGTACTGAGTTAGTTCCTGAACTAACTCAGGTAGATTAGTAATAGATGTCAGCATTCAAACATTCAATCATTTGATGTGCTTGACAAGCTTTTTATCGCTTCCCCATATTTCTTTAAGAGTGCAAGCTATTGTGTAGGTCAGACAGCAAACATATAATTGAGGCCTACATTGTGAGGTAAAAAAATCCTGTGGTAATTAATAATTTAGAGCATCAAATAAACTTTGCTAAGAATTATCTTTTTACCCCTCTCCCCCTAGAAGGGTGCCCTTCCACCCCCCTCCTCCCTATGTCAGTGTTCACCAAACATCCTGGGAGCTACACAGGTAATAACTGTATCTGTGGTGGGTTAAAGTGATTGAGGATAAGAAAATCCTGTTTCAGTTTCGCAATTATTTGAGAATCTATTAAATGCCAGAGACTAGGGGTATAAATAAAGATGACAGATATTGTCCGTCAGGGCCGTGGAGTTAGATTGACCTTCCTATGAAAATGCATCTCTTTCTGGGAGGGAGGTGGCTGTGTATAAGGATTGACTTCTCTCTCAGTAAAGAATCAGCCCCCACTGTATTTTATAGGCACCGGTTTAAACTTGGGTCTTACAAATTTTTTTTTTTTAATCAGGTTGCTCCAAAGTGCTACATGATTCTTAGAGGAATGAAATATCACCCTTACCATTACAAGAATACTCGCGGTGATAACCTGAAGGTAGTTTTCTAGTAACTGGGGGCTCCGGAACGGTGGGATCCTGCGTGTAGTGGGTAAGAAGGCCTCTCCCCTCCAACTCCCAAGTAGGTATCTCTGGGCCAACTACGGGGTTGCAGCTCCACTGTCACATCTTGGGGTCCCAAAATGCACGTTGCTGGAGAAGAGCATCATGCGAAAGTAGGAGCAACATGCTCTAGCAGTTCAAAATCTGTCAGAGAAACGTAGGTAATTTGGCAACTCAGGGCAAAGCCCCCTTAAAAAGACAGAGACTTCCAGAGATTCAGAGACGCAAACGCTTTTCAGCTGCCCATGCATTAACTTGATTAAGGCTCCATATGGAGGAGCTTGATGCAGCCAGGTGAAATCAATTGTAGGCTTCCTGCCATTATGTAAATGTAGGTAATCAAGCATGAATAGCAATAAGCACATCGCAGTTTACAAGATGATACACCGCTTTATTTTCAATTGTATGAGTTATCAGAACAATAACTACTAACATACAAAGTACCATCAGCTCAACGGCAGGTATAGGCAGTGACAAGTAATCTAATTCTTAGAATCACTCCCACAATCTGTCCAGACACATTAACCTAAGGACACATTTGTAAATAGCAAACACGATTTTCACATTACAGCTTTCCCAAGCATATAAGGTGTGTAGACTTGGTGAGGGCTTGTTTCCACAAGTTCTGCGTGTTCCTGATGCACTCATTTTCTTGACATTGGTAGAGATACTTCTTTCCACAAAGTAGATTTAACAATACTCTGTGAACTAGTATTACTCTTGACACTTTTCAAATAGGAATATTTGGATTGAAATATCTCTGCAGTTCGATTCCTTGTGTCTTCTGGTAAGTTCCATCGTCAAAGAGCTTTTGATTGTAATCACTCCCTTGCAATAACAGCTCAACTCTACTACTGGGTTCAGTGTAACACCCTCTTCATGGCTTGCTGTGTGATGTAATGAGGGTGGGGTGCACTGGCAATCAGCACATTTCATTATCATTGTTTACAGCCATTTAAAACCATGCCATTATTATCAATCCAAGTCTGGCATGCCTTTTCTGAAATGTTCACAGTGCAGTATTTTTGTGGCCTAACGAAAGTTTTCTTATGTCATTAAAAATAAACATTTTTATAAAAATAGAATATTTAAAATGTTTACACAGAGAAGACCAGTTAGAGTATCCTGTGCCATATGCACTATACAGTAGTAAGCACAAAATCTCACAAAACAAAACAGCACGAGAGTCCTCCCCAGAGTAACCGGTATTTATCCAGGTGAAAGAGCCAGAACTTAAAACTGCCCCCTTTTCCCCCCTAAAATACTTTTTGCTTAACACAGAACATGTCCTAATGCAAAAACTGGACTCCTCCAAAGTTTTATTGTCTCTATGTGTTTGTGGGATAGAAGCTGCCACTTGAAAACGAGGCTAATATTTCCAGTCCATTGGTCATTTCTTTGCCGTAGAGATGAGGCAGATTGGAACCAATAAACCTTTTTAGACAGATGTATTTTGCTTTAAAAACATGCTAAGTTACCTTTAAAAACACTTATCATCACAAAGTACTTGCTTTATTTTCAGTTGGCATTAAAAAAATGCAGACAAAAACATTCATTAGATCAGAACAGTATCATTTTCAAACAGTTGATTTTTTTAAGCAGCTGATTTTTAAATAACAAACATTTCATTATTACCAAACTATTTTATGAAAACCTTCTTAATGCCATCATCTATGTATATACAATACATAATTGTCCCTATTAAACACATTTTGTATCCTGCATTGCCTATGGACATCTCTTCAATAAAAGGAATGTGTATGCAAAAATGTAGAAGGGAATGTTTGCCCAACATCAGTAATAACATAGGTTAGTGACTATGTAACACATGAAATCTCTTTGAAATTCTAAATGAGTGGTCTGGTCCCCGGCTCCCTGGGCATTACCACTTCTGAATTTTCGGTGATCAAGAAGGCCTCCACACTGACTGCCTCAATTCCCTGCATGAAATCAGGTTGGATCCTGATTTTTAAAACTTCAACCTAGAATTCAGGTTTTGGCCTGAACGCGACAGGAGCGTCATCAAAGCTGCAGGGTTGCCCTTGGTCATTGGCCTATGGGACCAAGCTTCTGGCTCTGATGCTTTGTCAGATGTCAAATTCCTCAGAATCCAGTCATTTAAAAGAACAATATAAGGTCCTAGAGTAGCGCAATTTTGGCAAAAGCAAAAAATATCTGGTGGCCTTTCAATGCCCAGGCAGTGAAAAAGTACTGGCCGTGGTGTGGACCATTGCTCGAACAGTTCTATGATGTTTATCAGAAGGGGGCTGGTGGCGTATTCATCCATCATGTGTCTCCCTCGCCATCAACGTTATCTTGAGATGACAACAGAGAGGGGTATGGAGAACCACTGTTGATATTCACATAAGTAGAATTCACATGGACATAGTGTTCCCCAATGAAAGTAGAGAATATCACGGATATCTTGGAGACCAGTTCAGAAAAGGTCGGGCGCATTTCAGCTTTGGGATGCCAGCATTTTAGCATCACTTCATACCTGCGTCAGAAAGGAAGAAGTGCTGTGAGAGATACGTTGGAGACAAGCATTTCTGTAAAAGTAAAGCTTATAAGAGCTACAGAAGATTCTTTTGAAATTCTTACTCACAAGGGATCTGGGCAGTATTCGGGTTGTAAGAGCCTTCTGCCTTGCAGCAAGTAAACTGTGATATCAAAGGTGTTGACGTCAGGATAGGGTGGCGCCCCTCTTGTCATCAGTTCCCAGAGGAGCACACCAAAGGACCACTAGTCGGACAATGGAAGAGAGAATCCAGGTGAGAAGTGTGACTACACAAATATGAAAGGCACTCAGTAGGTCTTGATAACGGAACTTGGTTTAGTGTACTCAATACACGTGCTGTTTGGGGCAAACATTTCCTTAAAGGCAATTAGTAAGCTATACATTTTATGATTTGTTTAAACCAGAATTGGATCAAGTTTAGTTACAAGTAAATATAAAGTTTTCAAAAAGAATATCTGAAGTCCACATGGTGATTAAGATTTCATCTGTACTTAAGTAAAGTAGGCTTTCTAAGTTCACTCTTGTAAAGGCAAAGCTTTAACGGGTTTTTATCCTTCTCTTTTCAATGGCTTCAGTACACTTTTAGATTATTAGTAAAAGGAGAAAAGTAAGCCTTCCAAAATTTAAATTTGTGGGATTTTCAAGTGAATGTAAATAGTCAAGAATGTAACCATACCTAGAAGTTAATGTTAAAAGAGAAGATCTAAGTAAAAATCCATATTAAAAATCACAAGTAATAAAACTGCAAGCCAACAAGGCTATTGAAAACTAATCTCAATAAACATCTCTACGATGTTTATCAGAAGGGGGCTGATGGCGTATTCACCCATCATGTGTCTCCCTCGCCATCAACTTCTATCTTGAGATGACAACAGAGAGGGGTATGGAGAACCATTGTTGATATTCACATAAGCAGAATTCACATGGACATAGTGTTCCCCAATGAAAGTAGAGAATATCACTGAAACTTGAAATGTTAAAAGAGTAGATTAATAAAAAAAGCTCTATCAATACTTTATAGGAAGATGGCAGGGACATGGAGAGGTTAAGTGACTTGCTAAAATTCTCCAACAGGACTTAATTCTTATTGGGATGAACATCTAAAAGTTCTTGGCTCTTGGGTCTTGGTTGGTCTACTGAACTTGACCAAATATGCAATTTCTTGACTGAAAGCACTGAACTTGGGATAGTACATCAGGTCATACATTTACCTCCTCCTGGACATGTGCCAAGGTGAGTCAGCATGTGCGGGTCACCTCTGGGTGGAAGACCCAGGGAATCAGTCATTGCTTAGCAACACTTCTTGGACACTCACAGACCAAGAGGCATGTGCGGAGAGAAATGAGGCTCGAGAAAAAAGAAGCTTGGAGAAGGAGAATACAGACAGGACAGGTGGAGTAGGAGAACAGGACACTGAGAAGCAAGTGTAGCTCATAATATTCAGCAAGAACAAGAATAAAGCCTGTCTTTGAACACTGCGGCCAAAAGAAAGAAACCAGGTAGATACTTTAATTGCTGATACAAATCTCAATTAGTGACTCTTTTCCTTTTGCCCAAGAGCAAGAACCTTAAAGGCCACTGACAGCCTTAATCCAAACAGAGAAAACAAAATCTTTCCCAGGTGGGAACTAGGTAACTTTGCTGTCTTCTGCAACCTTTCAAAATCAAAGCTTTCAACGCCTGCAAGTCTTACCAGTTGCTTCTGACAACTTAATTATGTTAACCGTCAAGTTCCAAAATTTGCATTAAAATTTAAATCAATTTAACAATTATCTACTGACTCATGAGATGCACAAGTTGGTTACTCCCCAAGTTACTGGGTAAGCCCCAAGGCTGATTAAACAGGGTTAAGGATATTACGCAATTAACTATCATGTAGAACAATAAAATATAACAATAGAGCAATAATAGAAAAGAGGTACAAATGTTGTGAAAAGTTAGATAACAGTGGGGTACTGAGAGAGGCTTCAGGAAGAAAGTGATAGTAAAGTGGGTGTAAAAGCAAGGGAGAATTTGTTTTATAGATACATGTAACGGGAGGGCAGAGAGAGTGTTCCCTGTGGAAGGAGTGGGCCAAGGGGTGAGAGCACACGTGTTTTTATTGAACTATAAATGTAACAGTCACTGCTTGGTGTGTGGACTGGGTGAACGGAGGAGGGACAGAGAAGGCTGAAAGGGGACCATGCTGTGGGGGTTTTGAATGGGGAAAGTGAAGTTGATGGGACATGACTGGAGTTCAGCTCCAGGAGATTGCATCTTGTAAACACCATGCTTTCCAGCGGTTCTCAACCTGTGGGTCGCAACCTCTTTGGGCGCTGAACGACCCTTTCACAGGGGTCGCCTAAGACCATCAGAAAACACATATAGCATGTCAGATATTTACATTACGATTCATAACAGTAGCAAAATTGCAGTTATGAAGTAGTAACAAAAATAATTTTATGGTTGGGGTCACTACAACGTGAGGAACTGTATTAAAGGGTCGCGGCATGAGGAAGGTTGAGAACCACTGCGCTTAGACAAAAAGGAGAAGCTTATTCCTAAGATGGAGACCAGCTTTCTGAACAAGAAGAAGTGAGGGATACTACTGCATACTGTAACACGGAGGCCTATGAGACTGAACTCCTAAATTAGGGTGGTGGGAGATGGTGTATGTCATATAATGAGCTGGGCATGGGCATCATGCCCTTTAAAAAAATGATTATCTTGCCCTAACTGGTTTGGCTCAGTGAATGGAGTGTCGGCCTGCAGACTGAAGGGTCCTAGGTTCGATTCCGGTCAAGGGCATGTACCTTGATTGTGGACACATCCCCCAGTAGGGAGTGTGCAGGAGGCAGCTGATGGATGTTTCTCTCTCATCGATGTTTCTAACTCTCTATCCCTCTCCCTTCCTCTCTGTAAAAAAATCAATAAAGTATATTTTAAAAAATGATTATCTTATCCTTGTAATAACCCTTTCATAAACCTGTAATGTAATTGATTTTATAGATGCTTTTTTTAAAAAAAGAAAGTTTTTATTACTGATATTTAGAGACAGAGGAAGGGAGAGGGAGAGAGAGAGAAACATCGATGTGAAAGTGAAACATTGATTGGCTGTCTCCTGCAATGCCCCCTACTAGGGACTGAGCCCGCAACCCAAGCATATGCCCTGACTGGAATCCAGGTCTCTTGATGCATGGGATGATGCTCAACCAACTGAGCCACACCGGCCAGGAATAAAGGTGCTTCAAGGATGAGGAAACCAAAGTTCTGAGAGGCTGATTACTTGTCTATGACAAAGTCTCCTAACCAATAGCCTAGGCCAGTGGTCGGCAAACTGTGGCTCGCGAGTCACATGAGGCTCTTTGGCCCTTTGAGTGTGGCTCTTCCACAAAATACCGACTTCTGCGCATGGGCCACGAAGTTTCAATCGCACTGTACGTGCACGCCCGCATGTGGTATTTTGTGGAAGAACCACACTTAAGGGGCCAAAGAGGTGCATGTGACCACTGCCCTAGGCTATAGGGTTGTCTGAAGGCAAAATCACTAAAAAGGGGACAGAGTTGGGTAAATTTTTGAGCAACAATTTGGATTCAGAGGAGAGTTGGAGTACTCATGGGACATGAGAGGAGAGAGAATAGCAGTTGCCGAGAAAAGCCCTCCCCCTTGATAGCTTTGGACTGACAGGATGACGAGGGGAGGGGCAGTGAAGGAGCATGATGTTGACTAAGAGAGAAGATGGGGGAGGGGAGACAGAGACTGAACGGTGGAACAACCGAACAACCGGTGCGCTGGCCACCAGGGGGCGTGTGCTGAACCTGGCAGGTGTTGGCCATGGTGGGCTGGTGGAGCGTGAGTGGGGGCTCCAGACCAAGGCTGGCGCTGGTCGCTGTCATCAGGGTGAGCCCCTGGTGGTTACTGAAAATTCTTTGCTCCTGCGCACTGTGGTCACACCTGGTGCTTGCACCTGCTGCTGGTGCCCAGCGCCAGTCCCGATCGCTTGGCACCATCAGCAGGTGTGAGCAGTGGCTGCCAGCCCTGATCGCCACTGAGGGCTTCTCCACCTCCCCCTGCTCCTGAGGGGCGATCGCACCCACTGCTGGCACCGGCCGCAATCACTCCATGCCATCACTCCACGCCTCTAATCCATAAAAAGTGGGGCTGGCACCATCAGTGTGTGGGAGCGGTGGCAGTGGGAGTGGGGCTGCCAGCAGATAGAGGACTGGGGCCGTGGCAGAAGGGGCCGGGCGGGGACACAGAAGATGGGCTGAGATCCACCCCTCTGCCTACTGCAGCCTTGCGGCCCACAGTTCCTTTCAAGGTGCATGGATTCGTGCACTGGGTCCCTAGTTCACTAATAAAAAATAACCCAATTAAAAAAACACACCAGAAAATAAATTCTAAAACTTAAAAAAATGGGCAAAAATTTTGAGTAGGCACTTCACTAACGGAGGTATAAGAATGTCAAACAATTACCTGAAGAGATGCTCAACATCATTAGCCATAGGCTAATGCAGGTGAAAAAGAAAATGAGACACCACTATAATCTATTCGAATAGCTAAAACCCCCAAAACTGACAATGGCAAGTGGTGGTATGAATGCTGAGCTGAAACTTATATATTACTGTTAAGAATATAAAATGATACAGCCTGTGTGGAAAAACAGGTGGCAGTTTCTCATAAAGTTAAATATAACACTTATCTTACAACCCAGTAATCCTACTTCTAGATATTTACCCAAAAGAAATAAAAATTATGTTCACACAAAAACCTTTAAGCAAATGTTAAGGCAGTTATAATTACATGTAAGTAACTGCCTAAAACTGGAACAAACCCAAATGTCCTTCAGATGATAAATGTGTAAACAAAATGTGGTACATGTGTACAATGCAATACCGCTCAGAAATAAAAAGGAGTGAATCAGTCTACGAAAAACAGTATGAAGGGCCCTTAAAACATTCTAAAGATAGAACTACCATACGGTCAAGCAATCTCATTTCTGGGTATATAACGAAAAGAACTGAAAAAGGACCTTGAAGAGATACTTGCACACCCATGTTCAAAGCAGCGCTATTCCAATAGCCAAGAAATGGAAGAAACCTAAATGTCCACTGACAGATGGACAAAGCAAATGTGGTACATTCATACAATGGAATATTATTTACCCTTGAAAAGAAGGACATCCTCACATGCTACAACCTGGATGAACCTGGAGGACATTATACTAAGTGAAATAAGCCAGTCACAACAAGATGAATAATACATGATGCTACTTACACGAGGGACCTACAGTAGTCAAACTCTTAGAAACAGAAAGTAGAATGGCGGTTGCCAAGAGGGTGAGGGGAGGGGAAAATGGGAAATTGTTCAGAGGATATAGAATTTCAGTTTTACAAGATGAAGAGATCCGTTGCATAACCATGTGCATGTAATTCACATTATTGTACACTTAAAGATGATCGATTTTTTGTTGTGTTTTTTTAACAATAAAAAAAGAAATGAACTACTGATACAATGACACTACTGACAACATGCACGGCCCTTAAGCGCATTATGCGACGTGGAAGGAGACAGACTCAAAGATGACTTCATGACTTTCTAGGAAAGGTAAAACTACAGGCACAGAAGACAGACCAGTGGTTCCCAGGTAGGAGGGGCTGACCACAAAGCGGCACCTGTTCTACATCCTGGTTACGGTGCTGCTGGTAGCCACGTAACGTATGGTCCAGACTCCCTAGCTTGCTTTCCAAGGGCCTCTATGATCTAGTATGCAGATGTTTTTCTCAATTTATTCTCATAACTCCACTTTGTGTCCTCCTGGTTCCAGGTCGATGCTCAACCACTGAGTCACGCCTGCTGGGCCAAAATCATCAGTATTAACTAATACTTTTATTCCACCTGGGTTTATCAGTCAAATAAGTTCATGTTTTCTATGTTGCAAAATAGGTCAGCAAAAAAGAAACACAAAAAAACCAAACACAAAGAAAAACTTGGTATAATAAAATTTTCATAAGAAATCTAAACTTAATTGTTAGGAGCAAGTAAATTAAGTGTAATGGTAGAAGAAGTTTCTTTTCTGTAACTCTTTAGCAATAATTATACAGGGTGGGAGCAAAAGTAGTGAGTACACAAAACACAGAGTTTATTCTTGTATTATTATTATTATTTATTAATTATTGTATTATTTTCCATACAAACAACTCTAAACCACCTTTTGCCACACCTTGTATTGTATGTGCACTTAGTTTTCTAAATCTCTTTGTAACTTGAAGCTTTAGAATTTTACTAAGTTAAATGATAAAAATTATTGAATATCTAGATTTTTCCAAATAACATAAAATACTGAAACAGTAATTGCTAAACAAGTCTAAGTTTACCTACTATTGACCTCTTATTAAAGAGAAACTAAATGATACATTTAGATCTGTTAATAAAAACATTTTGTGCTTTGCCAGTAAAAGAACCTCTGTTTCTAAAGGTTATGAAATAGATTAATAAATTTGCCAATCTAAAAAAATGCTAATTACTTACATTTTACCTTAGAATTGAGGTTCTAAGGGTTATGAATTTTTAATTAATATGGATGGAAATGATGTGAGTTTTTAGGAAGAAAGGCATTAGGCATGGAAATACATTTTGGGGGCACTAGTAGAAAGTGGCTTGTCCTAAAAAAAGGTTGGTTGTTTCAAATTGAGTAAGAAGAGACAAACTAAGAGGGACTAGGAAAGTTGTAGAAGTTTTGTGGAAAAGGAACCCTGAGAAAGAAAATTTTATGTTCGATTAAGTTGAATAAGATTAAAGTAGATTTAATAGAGTAAGTTAATTTAAGAAGCCACACTAAGCTAATAAAGAATTAGAGTTTGGTTCTATATCAAACTATCAAAAATGACAAAGTTTTTCTATATTGTTCTGCCCCAGATAAGATATTATGAGATGTTTTCAACCTACAAAGCAGGGAAAAAAGCAAACATTATGGTCATGCAGACTATTCATGGTAATCCGGAAGCTAAAAAATATTTTCAATTGAATGTAAAACAGTTTCATTCTTCTAATCCTGAACTCTGCCCCCTTTCAGCAGTAAGCAGTCAGAGAGGTCTTTCCCCCTTCTTCCTCAAGATTGAGAAGTGATTAAAAAAATAAAATGGGGGGCGGGGGCGCAGAAAGAGGGAGGAATTGAAACCGAGGGCCCTTTTCTTCTGCCTCGGTTATAAGCACCTCCTCCATCAAATGTCTTCATATTCCTGAGAAACTGGAGCTTACTAATGAGGCTATAGGTAAGTACACATATACCACTGACTTGTAAGCAAACATCTACATCCATGTATAGTGCACACATATTTTTCTCAGCAAACTGAACTGTTTTTCTTTTCTAGAAAAGTTTCCATAAATTGTGAAATTTCTAGAATATATTAGTACTAACAGAATATCCTCCTATATAATAAAAGGCTAATATGCAAATTGACAGAAGAGTAGAATGACCAGTCACTATGACGCGCACTGACCACCAGGGGGCAGACACCCAATGCAGGAGCTGCCCCCTGGTAATCAATGCACTCCCACGGCCAGCCAACCTCTCCCGGTCCCTCCCCGCAGGCCAGCAAACCTCCCAAGGTCCCTCCCCTCGTCCAACAGACCCCATCCGGCAGGCTTCAGCCGGCCTGGCCCTGATTGGGACTGGGCAAGATGGCCCTGATAGGCCCTGATTGCTGGCCAGGCCTAGGGACCCTACCCATGTACGAATTTCGTGCACTAGGCCTCTAGTCCATAATAAAATAGCCAAGCATTTCTACACTGCGGTTCTCAGGATCTAGTGCTTGGCTCTGCTAGCACCAGGTAGATGAACTCTTTCTCTTCTGTAACAATTTCAAGCACTGTCCTTTCCTCCAGGTAGAAGGGCATGTGGCTCTCTGGGTGAGTGTCAGTATTCAGGTGTATGCCTTTCGAAGCTGGCTCTGTGAGAGGAGGATGGCCGTGGCAAATAAAGGAGAGCGTGTTTCTAGCTAGGTGCATAAATAATGACTTCATTGCCAGACCTGCCTCAGTTATAGTTTCCAGATCTTTCAAGATAGAATTCTTGCTGCCATGAAGTTGTGAGCTATGAGTGGCCAGGCTAATCCCAGTCTACTTTGTGTGTACTTTTTTTAATATATTTTATTGATTTTTTTACAGAGAGGAAGGGAGAGAGATAGAGAGTTAGAAACATCGATGAGAGAGAAACATCGATCAGCTGCCTCCTGCACATCTCCTACTGGGGATATGCCCCGCAACCAAGGTACATGCCCTTGACCGGAATCGAACCTGGGACCCTTCAGTCCGCAGGCCGACGCTCTATCCACCGAGCCAAACCAGTTTTGGCTTGTGTGAGTTTTTGATGGACACGCCTTGTCTTCCCTGCTGAGCTATAGCTTCCGGAGGACAGGGTTCACACTTGGTTCAGCTCTGGGCTTCCTAAGGATCTAGCATCTGCCAGACAAATGTTTTTGAATAAATGAATTATAAAAACATACTAATGATACTGTTGCAATGACCCTGGTTATTAATTAAGCGGACAGGAACAAAGGGAACATCAAATAGACACATGCCCAGTAAAGTCTGGTGACATAGGGAAGGTGCTTGTTTGTCAGTCACACCTGGGAACAGGGCACTAGCCAGGGTAGGTGTGACCACTGCACACAGGAGGGGGTGCAGATTTGATAAACTACGGTCCTAAACAAAGGAGTTCTCTCTCTTGCCCCTCGGTGTGTTGCACCTGACTCCATGCTCCTGCATTTGCCCACATGGCCCATGGCCTAGGACAGCACACACAATGGACTAATGGAATGCAACTAGCCTGATGTTAAACCGGACCAGCTTCACCAATGGAATGGAAACTCGACTGTGGCTTTGCTTCCAGCGCTGCTGAATCCCCAGCTGCACCTTTTCCAGGACTGATTAAGGGAAATGGGACCTTGGAAACCGAGGGATATAATTCCACACAAATAAAAAGCACTCATTCTCCCATGTGAGTCTCAGAAAATTCTTTTCCTCAAGGTAAGGTAAGGACCCGACCCCGAGCACCCAGTGGGGAAGGTGATCCCCCATTTCCACCGGTGGATCCCCCATTTCCACTTGTAACACTATGCGTGCATTAGATAATCGAGCACTTTTGCTTAGGAAAAAAATTGAAATTAGCGATGTTAAAAGTTTCTTTTAAAAAAATTAAGTAGCCATAAAACTACTGAAAAAATTTGGGTAGGAAAGTAAAAGAGGAGAAGGGCAGGGGTGATCAGTAATACGTTACCACGTCTGACTTGGTGGTAAACTTCTGAGTCTGAAGACTTTCTAAAGCCATCCACTTCACGGGCAGTTTTGCACCTGTTTTGTTGTGTACGCTGTAGTATTCTTTATCGTACATGTCTCTGGCAAGACCAAAATCAGCAACCTTGACAGTGAATTTTTCATCTAGCCTACAGAGGGGACAAATATTGTTACTGGTGGCTGAAACAGAATCATCGACTGTGACGCTGAATATCTACAGAACAAGTGGCTTCTGTGTTGGAAATCCACAAATCCTTAACTTCTGCTGGGAGGCTTCGTCCAGCCTCAACCTACTAACACTACATTACAATGGAATTCTTGAGTAAAAGTGCTTGGCATTTACATGACAAACTCAACAAGCTGAGGAAAGAGAACATGAGTGATGTTACATAAGAAACTTTGTTTTGCTTTCGTAGATCTGAAGTAGTAATATTGGGCCCCCCTCCCGATATCCTTGGTTGCTAAATCAAGTATGCCAACCGAGTAACCAAAGTAATCGCCAATAATCACTTGTCAGCTTATTACCGATTAACTTTTTAGGGGAGACATGACCAGGCACTGTCTTACTTTTTCATTCTCAAATGGGCTAGGATAGTAGATAAAACTTATATACCTTCACTAAGGTAATAGGGAAACAGGACACATAGTAAAGCATCTGAGAAAAACAGCAAGTTTCAACAAAATCGATTTCCGCTCCCTGAGGCTGTGTGTCCCTTTGTTTAAGTGGGCTTTTATGTTGTCACAGTGACCAAAACCAAGGTAGGAAATGAAGAGCACAGCTCTCTCCTTCACATACACTGTAAGTCATGAATCAGCGCTATGCAAGGGAAAGCGCTGAATGGATTACAAACTGTTGACTGCCGTATTATATAGCCCAGGCAGCCAGACACAAATAAAGTTCTTTGAGTTCATTCCTAAATACCATTTTTGGTAGGGCTTCTGCAGGCTGACTTCAAATCCACTCTTGGGAAGTGACAATATGTTGGTATTGGTGTTATCAGCCCTCTTCTTTCCACTGTGAAAGGTGAAGATCAGATTCTACCTCCCAACACTAATGCAGTGTGAAACCACAACACTGAGGCCTACTTTTGGGAAGAAAAAAAAGGGGGAAGCACAGAGCAGCTGTGAAGGCCCCCTCTGGAGAATCCCTTTTACATTCTCCATTTGACAGAGGCTGAAAGCCCCTCCTACATCTCCAGTGCTTACATGTGGATTTAAAACTGTAACGGAAATAAAGGACTTCTGCGTGAAAATCAGGGGAAACAGAGTCCTCCTTTTCACTTAATTTGGACTGTGGGCACAGAGATTCTTATACTTACATACAGTTCCTTGCAGCCAAGTCTCTGTGGACAAACTTTTTGCTTGCGAGATATTTCATGCCTTTGGCCACTTGAAGACCAAAGCCAATAAGATCTTTTACAGTTGGGTTCTGCAATCAAAGAGAATTGGGAACTCATATAAACGAAGCATCTACTGTTCTAGTGAGGATCTCAGAATTCCGAAACGTTTATAAGAACGGTCTTGTTTCAAACGATAGCTTACACCCTGTTGATTGATAATAGCAACCGTTTATTAAGCATCTACTGTTTGCAACGCACCAGGCTAGATGGTTTATAAATTTGGGCTAATCCTCATACAGATGCAGAACTGGAGGTGTTTTAAAATGTGGGTTGTATAATTATTCAGGTATGGTGAAGCCCACGGGTGGGAGACAATTGCCACTGAAAAAGACAGTTTGTGATAAGCCCCAGGAGGCGGGGGCATGCCCTGATGCAAGTCCACACAGGGAAGCACTAGGCTTGGCCAGGAGACAGGTGAGGCTTCACTGTGGTTTCTGTGGTAAGAAATGGGCAAGGCAGGGTAAGCAGGCTAGGACTTGGGTCGCTGGGATAATTTCCGCAGGCAGGCTCAGGGCGTAGGTGCTGTCCCTCGCTGTCTGGTACCTGGCCCTTCAATGAGTAGGGCAGGGAGACAGTGACCTAGAGGGTGAGAGCCCTGTCAAGGAGGTGGTTGGGGTTTGGGCTCTGGATTGGCTCACCTCTGAGAAGGTGAGTTGTTCACCATCTCTGGGAATTTGCTAGTCCCGGGAGGGGCAGTTTCTGCAGGGTCAGTGAGACCCAGAAGCTAGAGCCTCAGAAATACATGATTAGCCCTAGCTGGTTTGGCTCAGTGGATAGAGCGTTGGCCTGAGAACTGAAGGGTCCTGGGTTCAATACTGGTCAAGGGCACATGCCTGGGTTGTGGGCTCAATTCCCCAGTAGGGGGTGTGCAGGAAGCAGCCAATCAATGATTCTCTCTCATCATTGATGTCTCCATCCCTCTCTCCCTCTCCCTTCCTCTCTGAAATTAAAAAAAAAAAGAAGGAAATGCATGGTTAATACAGGAAGTTCAGAGAGAAATTACCCTAACCACTCAGATGGTTAAAATGCATGGTTAATACAGGAAGTTCAGAGAGAAATAAATAACCCTAACCACTCAGATGGTTAAGTGGTGGAATTAGGATTTTAAACTAAATCTTTTAGGCTCCAAAGTCCACACTGTAGCAAAATCACTCCCGTCAGAACCCCTCCCACACGTGCTGAAGCACAGCTCACAGCGCCAGGGCCTGGACCCACACAGAGAACAGGACCTCATTCTAGGAACTCCCTCCACAACACTGTGTGGACATGGGAATGTTTCGTAGCCGTAAGAACTGTCTCTGAAATCACACAGATGCCACTGTGGCTGGAGCCTGGCCATTGGCAACAGGGCATGTCTTCTTTCGCAGCTGTTGTGGCGCTTTGTGAACCAAAGGGGCAGACAATGGGGACCTTCCAAGGAGGGCCACAGCAGGTAGAGAGGCCAGCTCCTTGCGTTTCTCTTTAAGACACACCTACGCTAGTGGTTGTCATTAGTACGGACTCCTCAGGCTGTAAAAGGCCACAGTGCAGTCTAATAAGTCTCTAGCATGCTTTAACCCCGGGGGCAAAATACCCGAGAGAAGGTAGCACATCCAACCAGATGAACTCACCAGGAGAATGACAAGAAGTGAAGTGCAAAAGTGGGATCTTTCAGGGCAGCTTTGTGCTTTGTAAGGTAAAGTCACCCTATCTGCAAACATTCATTGCCAGGGAGCATTTTATTCTTTTTGCTGAACACAAAATATTACTTCATTATTACCTTATTTCCTCTGAGAAACAGACCCCATGTTTATGAAGTTGTTTTTTTGTTTGTTTGTTTGTTTGTTTTTTTGATTAAGAGTAAAACTACTCCATTAACTCCCAAAGGACCCTGGGCACAGGGGCGGAGGAGCCGGATGCCATTTATGTTTTCAGTTCTGGAAATCCATCCTCTTCCTCTCTGGTTCTGATCTGGCCATGACTTGCTCATCCTTTAGGTTCTGTCATAAATGTCACTAAGAGCCCTGGCCCGTGTGTGAGAGTGCTGGCCTGTGCACCAAAGGGTTGCGGGTTCAATTCCTGGTCAAGTTCATGTATGTACCTGGGTTCACTCACTGCCTTCAGTTGGGGTATGTTCTGTATTCTTCAACTCTCAATCCTTTTCTTAATGTTTGACTTGGGTAATCATTTACTTTTCCTTTAAACATTATCTTTGCCCTGGCTAGTGTGCTCAGTGGTTAGAGAGTAGGCCTTCCCCCCAAAGGGTCTTTGGTTTGATTCCCATCAAGAGCACATACCTGGGTTGTGGGTTCATTCCCACTCCAGTCGGGGCATGTGCAGGAGGCAACCAATTGATGTGTCTTTCTTACATTTATGTCTCTCTCTCCTTCTCTCGCTCTCTTACTCCCTCCCTCCCTCCCTCCCTCCCATTCTCTCTGAAAAAAAATTGAAAAAATGTCCTTAGGTGAGGATTAATGACAACAAAAAATGTCACTAAGAAAATTGTCATTTGTAGGAGCCTAACAACCTTTATTGTAACTGAGCACATTCATTCAACAAATATTCACTGAGAGTCTATGGGTCAAACACCTTTTTAGGTGTTAGAGTTACAGCAGAGAACATACACACAAATCTCTACCCTCATGAGTTTGCATTTTAATGGGATGTGTGTACACACATACACATATGTATATGTATAGATATATATGTATTTAGCTACTATTTATTTTTTCTTATATGCATAGATGCATAACCCATGGGCACAGATGACAGGGCAGTGAAGATCTGGGGTGGGGTTGGGGGCAGGCTAGAAGGGTTCAATGGGGCTAGCTACTATTTATTAATTTATTGTCTAGCCTAGCACTATACAGCATAAATATAATGCAAGTCAAACATATAATCTAAACATTTCTAAAAGTCACATTAAAAAGGTAAAAAGAAACAGGTGAAATTAATTTTCACAATATATTTTTCAATCCAACATATCCAAAATATCATTTCAACATGTAATTAACATAAACAATTATTAATATTTTACCTTTTTTATACTAAATGTTTAAAACCTGGATGTATACTACACTTACAGCACAGCTCAATTGGGACTGGCCATATTTCACATGTGGCTCATGGTCATAGGACTGGACCTCTCAGACCTAGTGCGTAAGAAGATGATAAGCGTAATGGAGAAAAATAAAGCAGCAGCAGAGAGGAGACTGATTGAAGGCAGGAGGGTGGGTGGGTCAGTTGCAATTTTAGAAAAGTCAGGAGAGCCTCATTTTGAAGATGATTTCAGGGCGAAAAGCTGAAGTTGAGATATGTGGATATTTTGGGGAAGAGTGGCGCAGGGAGAGGAAACAGCAAGTGAAAAGTCCTGCGGTAGGAGGGTGACTGGCAATTTTGAAGAATAGCAAGGGACTCATTTGTAATTAATTCTTCGATGTTTTTCCTTCTAGAGCTAACGCTCCATGTGGCTTGTGGCTAATTACGCCTCTATGTCTCCTGTGTTGTGCTGTTTCTGGCTCATAGTAGGCCCTCAAAGATGACTAAATGTCCCTATCAGGGGGATGGTGGAGCAAGGCTGTTTGCAGGGAAGTTAAGACTCATTGAATGGTGCTAACATTTTACATGCACTTCTTTGGCTAAAGCGCTTTTGAAAAGGTTCAACACAGGCACATTTTGGAAGACTGGCTGGCTGCAGGC